TTTAAATGTCACAAACCACAAAGTTGAGTGCATGGCTGCCTCTAGTGCTGTTCAGCCCACAATTTTGAGAAGTATTGTGCTACAACCACCAGTATTGAAATGAGTGGAAATGGCCCAGCACTTGGCATCCAAGACCCTAAGGTTCAGGTAGTGATTCCCAAATGGGAATGATTTTGTCCCTCAGGAGACATGCAGCAATGACTGGAAACGTTTTTGATTGTACAAAAGAGGTACCTGGGAGGGCTGGAAAGCTGCTAATCATTTTACACTGCGCAGGACAGCCCTCCAACAAGGAATTAGCAGTCCAAAATGTCAGTAGCGCCAGGGTTGGAAAACCCTAATCTAAGGGTAATAAAATGAGTTGACGCTCCAAATGTGCTGTAGATCTGTTTACGATGGTAGAAACTTTAACATGATCTTCTTTTACTCTCTCTTTTTTTTTTTTTTTTAACCATAATTTGTACAGCAAGGTGAGGTGGGAAGGTCATCCTCCTGGGGTGGATATAAAGAGGACGAGCAATGAGTCTGTTGTTTTCTTTCATTTAGACTGCACCAGGCAGTTTTGTTAAAATATTGTTACTGCTAATAGGAATATTTTCTATGTTCCAACTTCACTCTCCTCCCCCTGTCCTCACCGTTAGGCCAACTTGCTCAGGGTCCCTCCTCACTCTGCTCTAGCAGCTCTTGGCAAAGAAGTGAAGGGACGCTGGCTAATTAGATTAGACATGGTCCCTGAAGCTTTCTCCCCTTACTCGTGAGACAAGATTCTGTTGTTTTTATGGGAAATGACCTTCTGCTAACCTTGAGGTGCCATCTTAAGCCCTAGTATTAAACTGTCTCCTTTTTAGCCTCTGCTTCATTCCTCTATCTGTAGCTATTTCAGACCAGGTTCTTGTGAACAACGGACTAGACATGCACTCCCAGTGTAATGGAAAGCCCTAATCTCCACATCTCCCTCCTTCCACGTCTGGCATCAGAAAAGCTCTTGAATATCTCAGTGTCAATCTGTTGTTGCTTTTTTTCTCATTTTATTGGCTATTTCTGGGCCCACTAGTATGGCTGCCATGTGCTCTGAATCATTCAGAGGCAGCCTGAGAGAACAGACCTGGTTTGGCGTTTTTTCCCCCCTCTGTCTTTTCATTGGAAAAAGGTAGGATGGTAGAAGGAGGTAGCTCTAAATCAAATATCAGAACTGGAACAGTAGTAGAAACTAAAACCAATGCTATTTGTGGCTATTCTCTTCCATATTTATTTTAGCGTATTTACCTCATGTGTCTTGAATTACATAAACAATAACATTTGTATTTAGTAAATGAATTCTTATAAATAATTTACAATAAATAAACCAAGGGATACGTGTGTGTGTCCACCTTGAAACTTTAGATTCCTGCAAACATAGTAGTAGGCTAGTAAGCGGTACCAGCAGATTCCAGAAACTGATACTGGAACAGCTCCTGTGGACTTCAGACACATGCATTCCATTCCTTTTGCTTCAAGAGAGCTATAGGGACACAGATTTCTTTTTAACTTTCCCACTCGTAGGTTAAGAATAGAAAGACAAAAAAAAAAAAAAGAATAGAAAGACAACATGTGGAGCAGAGAGATGAAGGGAACTGATAAGAAGCTAAGGCGTCAGTCTCTCTCTTAATTTTCCAAAGTTAATCTCTTCGCCTCCTCTGCTCTCGCCCAGTGTCAGAGTGAACCGAGCAGGATGAAGGGAATTAGTGAGGCTGCATAAAGCATAAAGCGTGGTGGTGTGTGGAGCTCCACTCTGGAGAGGGATGACAGAGGAAGAGGAAGGGAGAACGGGGACTGGAGGGGGAGAAGAGCCCACTGGACGAAGAAACCCCTGCCCTCTTCATTGTCATCAGTTGTTGGTTCTAGGCGAGGTGGTAGGCAAGGCAAATAATACAGAAGCCCCACATGTGGCCATTTACAACTTAAGGAACACATACGGTGGGATAACGAAGCAGGCCTTAGAAATCGTTCTAGGAACACCTGGGTGGCTCAGAGGTTGAGCATCCGCCTTTGGCCCAGGGCGTGATCCCGGAGTCCCAGGATCAAGTCCCACAGCAGGCTTCCTGCGTGGAGCCTGCTTCTCTGTGTGTGTGTCTCTCATGAACAAATAAAATTAAAAGAAAAGAAATTGTTCTAAAGCTCATGGGTGTTTTTCTGTTTTGTCCGAGGGGCAGGGCAGTTTGGGGGTGGGGGCAGTCGGCCCTGGTCATTTTCTTGGCTTGGGCTGTGTCCCTTTCTCCTTCCACTTTGGGATGCTCGGCATTCCTGACAAGACAGCCGACTTCAGAAGGTCTGAGGGCGAGAGGGGTTGCTGCCCTGCCTCCTCTCTGCACAGGCTGCGTGGGGTCGGAAATGAACGCGGCCAGCCCCAGATGTCCAGGGGAAAGCCTCTGTCCTCTTGGAGGAGCAGGGGTGGGCGGAACCAGGGCAAGAGGAGAGTCCTGCAAGGGGTGAACATTCACATCTGCACGGTACCGGAGTGTGGTTGACGTCTGTTACCTCCAGGGTATGAAGAGGAGGAAGGGTGACGGAAACCACGGCACCTCGCAGGTGGAAGCCGCCTTCTACGTTACGTGCCTCTATAGACGTGCAGCTTGTTTCATTTCTGCCGGTTTGCACAAGACTAATTTTCTTATGTTCCTCACATGCCTGGGACTGACTCTTCTAGGGCCTTCTGTTGATCAGTTCGGTGCCTCAGGGTTTACAGTGCTTGACAGTTTCTTTATCAGCAGTTGACATTTACTTGGAGACTCGAGTTCTGTCAGTTCTGCTTAACTCCCGCGACTTGACTTGACTCCCTGACTCATCCGCATCATGAAAGGGCTTATTTTTACTTTTCCCTACTTTGGTTCCCCTTCCCAACATTCCTATTCAGAGTTTAATAAGCTGTCGTCCTGTAAATTTGTGTACGTTTATACATTCGTGTTTTGCCACATGCTAAGATTTGTTTTGCACTCAGCTGGTGTGCCTGAGTCACCAAGGCACAATGGAAGAGAACAGACGGGACGTCCTTGCCATGATGCAGCGCAAGGGCCTGTTACTGTCAGGTGAGCTGACAGGAGTTCAGAACAGTCAGTCTCCTACATCGTAAGACAAGCCCAGAAGGTGACCGAGGTACCCAGATGCACTGTTGAACATTCTGCTCTAAGAAGGGTTGAGTGGATGATGAGGTACCTCGGAGGAGTCACAGGCGTCCGTGGCCCCAGAGGACGACAGTAAGGGCACAGTGGCTAATGTGCAAATGCGAATGAAAAACTGAGCTAGACGAATTCCAGCCGAAGGCCTCTTGTTACAGATCCTCCTGGCTCTTTGGAGGACTTCAATATTTTGGTTTTTCAGGGGCGCCTGGGTGGCTCAGTCAGTTACACGTGTACCTCCGACTCCGATCGTGATCCTGGGATCAAGCCCCACGTTAGGCTCCCTGCCCAGCGGGAGGTCTGTTTCTCCCTCTACCTGCTCATTCTCTCTCTCTCTCTGTCTCTCTCTCAAATAAATAATTAAAATCTTAAAAAAAAAAATTCTGATTTTCAGATGCTTGCCCCTTCCCTCCAGTCACTCAGATGAGACCTGGATACACATCATTCACCTTAGCAGAAGTCACACAAACATTTGTGGCTCGAGGTAAAGAACGAGAGTTGGGTCACTTGATCCCCTGCAGAGAATCTGATCAGGGCATCACATCCACCTCCCTTTGCTGACCCTCTTCTATAAACAGGAGCAGAAATTCTTGCTACTGGATCCCTTTCATCAGGCGTCTTAGGCTCGCTGAATGAAAAGCCCTATAAAAAGGAGATGCGACCCTAATAATAACAAATACAATCGTGATGGCTATTTTGGGCAAGAGCAGCTTTGTGCCGCTCTTGATCTGCATTGGTGTCTGCCATTCCTGCCCTGCCATTACCTTTCGGACTTCCTATTCTTAGAATCATTTGTGAGCCCTCGACTTGGGGGATTGCAGCCCCCAAGGCTGGAATGCCTAGCTTGAGTGGAATGCAGACTGTCTGGCAGAGTGGAGGTTAAATAAAGTTTGCCTTGGCAGCCCCTCCTGCTCTTGGATGGGCGACAAGTAACTCGGGTATGGGAGCAATGGCAGGAGCTGCCATGTGGTGCAGAACCAAACAGAGCAGGAGTGGTCGATGGTCCACCGGTTAGAGTCACAGCCTTGCCAGTGTCGGCCCTGCTGCGTACTGGGGAGGCCTTGGCAGTCTTGAGCCTCAGCTAGTGACTGTATCGCTCTAAAAACAGGCAAGAGCAATAGGGTAAGAGTGAAATGCTTCATAGGAACTGCAGATTTGGTATGTTTGCCCCCTCAGAGTTACTGCCTCGTTTTTTGAATGTGAGATGAAGGAGGACATCTTCATCGTAATAGGAACAATTGCTAGTCAGTCAGCAAACAGTTCTTGAGCACCAGAGCACTGTGGGAAACTTTTTAAAAGTGTAAGACATAGAACTCTTGTGATGCTTATAATTTAGTTGGAAGAGTAAAGCTGTAAACACATGAGGAAATAATTTATATTCCAAAGTGAAATATTTCCAAACCCAAGCTGTAGAACTACATGCCAAAGGAGGTCTAAGGAGGGAAAGGGCACACTCTTAGCTAGCTGGAATGATCTAGAGGACCTCTGTGGAGGACGTGGGCTTCTCTACTGGAAAGAAGAGGGTCTTGTCAGTGAGGGGACTCTATGAGCAAAGGACTGACAAAGGACTCTCAGAACAGCTCGTGGGGACGGGAGGAGCAGCTGGATATGGACAGGGTGGCAAACGGAGACGGGTTTGTACAAAATCACCAAGCCCTTCACTGTAAAGGCTGTGTGTGCGCATTGCTGAGACGTGACAGTGCTTCTCACCAGAGGATAGTTGGAAAGCTCCAATCCTGCCCAGAAACGGGGGCCCTTCGCGTGCTCTGTTCTGTGCAACCCCTAGTACAGCACGTAGCTCCTTTCCTTCCGCTTATCTGACCTCTCTCCTCTCTTCCACCACAGGTGGCTAGAGGTGCAGGTGGCTAATCTAACGTGTCCACAGCGCTGGGTGCAGTACCTCCAACTTCTTCAGGAGTCCATCTGGCCTGGTGGGGTTTTACCTAAGTATCCACGGCCCGTAAGGACCCAGGAGCAGAAAGTGGCTGCTGAAAAACAGGCCTTGCAGAGCCTGATGGGAATCCTGCCAGGTAATTGGACAGTGAGACTGGTTATACTGATAATTACTCCTTTCCTGCCCAGCTTTGCCACCATTACCCCGTACCCCTCAAAACCCTGTGGACCCACCATTTCTCAGGCTAATAGGTAAACGATCAGAGCTGTGATCCTCTTACCCCTCGTGCAAGTGATGCTAAGGAAATGGAAAGGATCGCTGTGAGCACACCATAAATAGTAGGTGAGAATCCTACAGGTATTTGGGGTAATAAGTTCGGCCTCCACCACAGAGGCAGAACTGTTCCCACCAGATGAAGACTTCGGCTTCTCTGCCAACTCCTGGTATTTAGACCAGGGAAGAAAATGGTATGTCCCACAGAAGCTCCTCCTTGATAACTTAGGGTCATTGAATAAGGTCCTTGGCAGTAGATAAAAACAAACCTGAAGAGGATTTTTTTTTCTTTACTTTCTATAGGTTTTTAGGTGGGGAAGGCAGCGTGTTGCCTGTGGCTGTGCTGTGGTAACCAGGGTGCAGTAGTGAACTGTTAGCTCTTAGGACAGTGTTACATACTCTTTTTTTTTTTCCGTTATATATGTATTTTTTAATTTAAATTCAATTAGTGAACATATAGTTTATTATATGTTAAAAAATTATTAGTTTCAGAGGTAGAGTTCATTGATTCATCAATCTTCCTCACATCTCCTCCTTAATGCCCATCACCCAGTGACCCCATCCTCCTATCCCCCCTGCCTTCCAGCAACCCTCAGTTTGTTTCCTAGGATCGAGAGTCTGTTATGGTTTATCTCCCTCTCTGATTTCATCTTGTTTGATTTTTCCCATCCTTCCCCTATGTTCGTTCCTCTGTCTTGTTTCTTAAATTCCACCTATGAGTGAAATCCTATGATAATCGTCTTTTTCTGATTGTCTTCTTTCACTTAGCCTAATACCCTCTGGTTCCATCCACGTTGTTACATACTCATCAACTTCTGTTCTCCACCCTAAGCTTACATCAGAAGTACCTGCACTTCTATGACAGGTTACAGAATTATTTAAACACTTAAGAAACATTTTTCTTAGCTTTTCCATTCTGGTGTGGCTGTGTGGTTGAGAAGTTTGCCAGAAATACTCAGTCTGAATACAGATAGCAGATATCATGAGATAATCTTAGAACCTGGGACTTCAGTGGTAACACTGAAACCACATCTGTTTTTTCCTCCTCAGATATTGTGGTAGAAATCCTTGGGGTGAACAGATGTCGACTGAGCTGGAGTCTAGTCTTGGAGTCACTACAGCAACCCCTCATCAACAGGTAGGCTGAAAGACGTGTACACAGCATCTCCGCAGCTCTGGCCTCATAGTGTCCACGGTTTCTAAGAGAGCAGCCCACACTGAGAAGAACGGAACCACAGTCTTTCTTTGCCCTGGACTCTGACTGCAGAGCGAGATGTCCAGGTCTACACACACTAAGGAGTCCACACTGCCGGCTTCTGAGCAGGCTGTCGTGGGTAGTGAGCCAGTGTTGGACCAGCCACTGTTTGTATTTGGAAGAACTCGGCGTAGGCCCCGTATGAGCTAGTGAAATGCCCTGTCACCCTCCAGGCTTATTCAGTGTGCTTAACAGTTCTTGCAGCATCTGCCAGCCCCTGTGAACACTGAGAATATTCCCCGGCCTATATAACCCAGGCAGGATAGTGATTTTCAGCTTTATGTTCAGGGCCTCACAGTAAGACTGATTAGTGTTAGAATCAGGAATTGTCTTTGCTTAATAGTAAGGAGACAAGATAATGAGGTTGGGCTCTGATCAAAGGACCAGAAATACCACGTGAACACCGCTATAGAGTAATCCAGAAGAGGTAGATATTTCCCTGGCTGGTACCATGGGATACAAGTCTTCTGAGAAGTATTCAGGACTTCCAGTCCTTTCTCAGACCCTGTCCCACAGTGGACTGTATCTATTAACTGTCGCCACCCAAGGGCTCTGGCTTTTGTTTCATTGCCTGTAAGGTCACCTGTGGATCTATAATGATTAATTATGAGAAACAGCCGTAGTCAGGAGTTCTGCTCAGTAAGTTGATATTGCAGGGGTTTTTCCCTCCCTCACAGCTCCTCAGAGCGGAGCTGATGTGCTAAGATAACTAGATAAATAAATGGGGAACTTCCAAAAATCAGGTCTCAAGTTCTATTTCCACCTTCATCGGGGTCATAACCTTTATTCACCAGACTTTTATTTCATGGCAGAAGCTTCATCAAGCTATTGAAACGTAGAGTTCACTAAGGAGATCAGTCATGGGCAAGAGGGGGAAGGGAAAACAAATGTCATAAACAGGATCTGGTGTCTGCTGACCGAGCCAGACCCTCCTCTAAGTTGTTTTGTCCATTTGTTTCAGGCATTTGATTTACTGCCTTTGGGACATCATCCTGGAATTCTTGGATCTCAGTGCCTCTGTTGAGGAGCCTACCGTAACCGCCTCTGCCTCAGATACCCCAGGCAACCCCAAGAGAACGGGTGTCTCCCCTTAACCATAGGTTATTCGCCCATTCTTGGAAGGCTGGGAGAGGAGAGTAGCTCTGCCATCCCGCGACCATCAGGAACCTGTGCCCTCTGCAGCTGGCCTGTAGCTCGGAAGGCCTGGGGTCCCCGGGGCACAGTTGTCCCCTGGCTCTACTCCATAGAGCAGATACCGTAGCAGGTGATGGGGGAAGTATGTACCAGTCGTATCCATATACATTTCCATACTGTTTTTGTGGTGTTTGGATTGTTGCTGGTGGGTAGATCCTGGAAAAGGAATCTGTGAGGTAGAAGAATGAGCCCCTTTTGCCTCTCCTTTGCCCTCCTCCCTGAGGATGTTTGCCAGGAGCCTGGCCCTGTGCATGCACTTTCCTAAGCCACCAATACACAAGCTGTAGATAGACCCAAGAGAAAACTGATAGCCAGATTCCTTGGAGGAGTAGGCAATTTTCTAGAGCTCTCTGTTCCCACCAGGCAACTGAAATTCATCCAGGACCACTCTTGAAAGCCAGAGCCCCACGCTCTGTCTCATTTCCCAACAATTCCAGAGGAGGGAGGGCAAACATTTCTCAAGGGGCTTTTTGCTGATTGGCTGTTTTCCAACACATCATGGAGGATGTCACTGAAGGCTGCTTCCCCGGGTGGCTACACTTTTCCTGTTCAGAAGACTTCGGAGCGACTTCCAAAGCTTCTCAGTAGATCCACCGCACTCTCCACACCCTTTCCTGAAAGAGAAAATCTGCGTCACAGATTTTATGTATTAGCTTTCCTCCCAGCCCGTCCCCAAGAGCAGTTGGTTTTGGTCTTTGTGACCTTCTCTGTCTTCCTTCAGCAGAATCACATGGCAAATCGCTTATTCAGCCCAGTGCTTCCAAAGGAAGGGACACATGCTTCGTAGCTGGGAATGCCCAAAGAGTAGGAAACCCAGGTGGCTGTGGGGCTTCTCTCCTCACCAGTCTCCAGCAGGGGACTTTTAACCTGAACCGATAATACTAGCAAACCTGCAAGGAGTTGCTCACCCACAAGAAGCTTTTTACTTCCTGTTCCTTAAGGATCTGATTAGTCTTTAAGAAAACTTAAAGATGAAGGCAAAGGTGGTATGTATGTAATATCTTAGAAGAATGGAACAGTTAGGAGAAATTATTGGTAGGGAGGCAGACAGAGTGACAAGGGAAGTGCTATGCATTAAATGCATGTGAGTAGCTAACAGAAGAGGTTTAAGGAGGTCCCGGGAGACCTGTGCCACCCTCATCCCATGAGCCTGCCTGTTAGTGCCCTGCTGTCACTGAATTATGGATCCTCCCATTTGGAGGGGGATGTTGGGGTTAGACTGACGAGAATGGGAAGGGTCTAGAATGAGCATCAAGTTCTCTTAGACTCTGAAGTAGATGATGTGCACACAATTAAAGTGGTTATGAGAGAATGTTGTGCAATCTATTACTTTTTTTTTTTTTTTTTTTTTACCCCTCTGGAGGCTTGTACCCATAAAGTGTTCTGCTATGATTGGAAAGCTTTAGGTAGGCTCTTACTGCCTAAGGACAAGGAGATGAATGAGATCATGTCTCATGGCACCCTCTAGCCTTAAAATACGATTGTTACAGTGACTTTATGGCTCCAGAGCTCCTCCCACCCCGGACACTCATGGGCAGAAGGAGCTCAGCATGTCTAGGTTTAGTAAGTACTTGCAGGAGTGTGGGGTTGGAGGGAGTCCTGCTTTGCTCACTGAAGCTGATCCTCCACCTTTTTCAGTGAGGGCCAGGCTGCTCATCGGTATAGATGCAGTAGCCAGCTCATTTCTACTACCCTTCTCTCCCCATACTTCACCCTTATATGTACTTAGCCACCTATATCGCTTTGAATCTCTGCTGCTAGATCTGGCCCAGATGTCACACAAAGCCAGTACGTCAGTTGACACGCCATAAAATCCTTGTGGCTGTAAATTAAGGAATTTTTTGATATTTCCAACCCAAAGAAAACTTGCCTGTATTTCATGTTACATATGAGATGCCACCTCTGTTGTCTGTCCCAAAACATAAGCTCTCCTCAGGCCCTCCTCCTACCCAGAAGGGAAATCATGGGTATCCCCAAGGAAATAATCAAAACCTACCTGTGGAGTGTGGGTAGCAGGCACAGACAACAAGGGAGATGAGCACTTGGGAGGGAGCCACAGGTGTTAAGAAGAGATGCTCCCAGCTGAGAGACTGATAAAAGGCAATGAAGAATCAGGCCTGCATTAACCCAGAACATCCCTGATTTTTCTTTTGCGCTACCCAGCACATTCATTTCCAGTTACTATTATTTTCTTTGCTCATAGCACCAACAACAGCTGTTAGGTCTTAGGTGGAGTAAAAATACATGTATATGGCTGTATGAGTCAGGACACTCTGGACTGAAGGAAGACTCCTAGGAAGTGTTATTTTCTTCCATAAAAGGAGTACCTGAATAGGTAAGCCCCAGGGGATGATGGATTCAGCCCCTCTGACCCCACAAAGGGCCCAGATTCTTCCCATATTTCTGTTTTGCCATTACAAACATGCTTGTCCTGTTCTCAGACTGCCTACTTTCATGGTTGCTGCAGTGCTGGGCATCACATTTGTACATAACTATGAAAGAACAGGGCGTCTCTCCTGTGTTTTCTTCTAAAGAAAGAGGAAACCTTTTCCCAGAAGCCCTTCAGGAATGCTCTCCTCATGACCCATTGGCCAGAACTGTCCACCCCTAGGCCAACCCACAGCCATTGAAAATGCCATTACCTGGTTGGCTTGCAATAGTACTTACCACCCCATACCACCTCCCTGCCCCGGAGAGGAGATGATCCTCCAGGAAAGTTAGACACCTAAAAAAATTATTAGATGTTACCCAAGAAGAAGCAGAGAATGGGTACTAGCAGACTGTTCTATCATCTGTACAACATCAACAAATCCCCCATGGCACTCTGGAACTGAACTTTCGCTGAAGGCATTACATGAAGCACTTCACCTAGAGTGACTTATGTAACCCATACATCAGCCCTATAAGGTAGGTTCTATTACATGTCTCCATTTCGTAGATGAGGAACACAGATCGCGAGTTGCCCGCAGTCACTTGAAGAAATGGCAGAGCGTAGGTAACAAATCCTACTGGTCTCCCCTCAAGCCGACACGCATAATCACCATCATCTTCGTCTGCGTTTCTTTTTACACAAAGCAAAATAAGACCAGATTTTCATTTTTAAGGAGCTCACAGTCTAGTGAAGAAGTTAGTAAACCTTTTTTGGTAATGGGGCAGGAATAAATATTAGACTTGTGGCCACGTGGTGGTCTTCGTTGCAGCCACTCAGCTCTTCCGTTGTAGCATGAACGCAGTCCTAGACAATGCATATAGGGAGGGCCGGCTGTATGTTCCAATCAAACTACCTACAAAAACAGGCAGCTGAGCACATGTGGCCATGAGTTGTTTGCAGGCCTCTTGTCTAACAAGTTAGAACAGCACTTCTCAAACTTTAGTGAATGTGTGATTTACCTGGGGCCCTACTGAAGAGTATGTTGCATTTTTAAGAAGCTCCCAGATGGATGCCAGTGGGCGTGCAGATCTTCAACCACACGTTGAGTAGCAAGGGCTTAGGACATGGACGACTCTCATCGGTCGGGCACTTCACTGGGAGTGGAGGGCCCTGGAAAGCCTGAGGTCATAGTATCTAAAGTGACTCCTGAAAGATGAGTAAGTAGTGAAAACATGGGGACGGTATCCAGAGGAACAATGAATGATGTGTGCGAAGACAGAGTCGACACAGAAAGATAAAGACTGGATGATTCCACGGATGTGAAGGACCTGAGTGGTCAACCTCACAGAAACGGTAGAAATAGGGTTGTTGGGAATTAGAGAGGAGACTATTACAGAGCTTCAGTTTTGCAAAATGACAAAGTTCTGGAGATCTGTTTTCACACCAGCCCAAGTGGATCTGACACCACAGAGCTGTACGCTGAAAAGGGTGAAGACGGTCAATTTGAGATTCCGTGTACCACAATCAAGAGACGTAAAATTTTGAAAAGCTATGGAGAGCTACAGACGGAACAGTGTGCCCAGGAACCCGGCCTTGTTCTCCCTCTGCGTGGTGGGGACTATGAGGAACCTTCCTGAGGGGTACTTTTCGCCCAAGCTCACAGCTCCTGCTCGGGAAACGTGGGCGTGGGACCGCACACGTCCACGGCCCTTCCTAGTCCTACTCCCCTGGACTCACGCATGTGTCCGTCACCTCCCGGCCCCAGCCTCCATTCCCCCGAGCCTGTTCCCCTCATTTCTGCTACGGAGATGGCCTTGGGGCCCTGCAGAGTGTGGGCGCTCCACGCTGGAAGGCCTGCTGCCCCCTTGCCCCACTCAGCGGCTGTGGGGATGGGGTCCAGTCACGGAGCCTCAGTGGCTCTTCGATCCCTCTCTCACAGAAAGGGGCAGAGACGCTACAACCACTCTGAGAAGTGAATTCCCAGAACAAGCTTCATCAAATAACAAGTGCCGTGCAGTGACCACGTGAAGGCTTCCCTGCTGGCCTGGTCGGGGGGCAGTGGAGACGCCTCGCTGCCCTCTGGTGAGCCCCGCTCCCCAGCCCTCAGAACCTGCCCTGTGCGTTCTCCCAGGAGGAGGAGGGATGGTCGGCCAACCCTGCTGGGTACGGATGGGAATGGAACCAACCAGGGGGGGATGGAAACCATGATGCTTCTGTAGTCCAAGGCCCCACTGGGCAAGCTCTTGCGGGGCTTGGCATCCCCATTTCCTTTCCGCCGAGAGTGCCAGAAATCACAGGCAGTACTTGCTCTGCCTCTGTGGACAGGAGAAGGAAAGGGCACCCTCTGCGGCGGAGGGCGTGAGGGAGGCTGTGGCACACAGGGCCTTCCCAGCCAGGAGCCGGGCAGGGGAGACCACACAGCCTTCGCCTCCGTAGCCTATGACTCGCCCAGTGTTTATTACACAAAGACATTACTGGCTCATTTTAGAAAGGAAAAAACCCAGAAGAATGTGTCAAGCGAGTAAAACTCATCCAAGTCCCCTTCCTGCTGTGCAAGTCAGTGGGCCCTGAAGCCGAGAGGGCAGTGACATGTGGAGCAAATGGCACCCACGGCCACCAGGGCAGATGCCACTGGGGCAGATGCGTGATGCTCTTCTCCGACTTCCAAGCCCTCCTGCTGCCTCCCTACACCTCTCACCTGTCTCTGGTCCAAAAGCACATGTGAACTCTACTTTCTCAGGAGTGAAAACAAGCATGTGACAGGCTGCAGAGAACTCCAGTCTCTCATGTGTCTTCAACATGACAAAATCTGGTTTCTCTCCACATTTTGACCCTTGGAACCTTACCTGCAAGTGCTGCTGTAGAAGTCACTAGCAGGCTGTTTCTAGGCGTGGAGGTTTGGGAAGGAAAAAAAAATAATGGCATCAAGATCCAAACTCAGAAAAGATTTCTTGAATGTCTTGAAACATTGTCTACTTTCAACTCAAAACAGACCTCTCTGTCACAAGAGTTTCTTTAGGAAATGCAAGCTAATTTCAGTATTAGGGTGTTTTAGTGATTAAGAAGGGAAGTCTGTGTCTGTATCTACATCCATATCGTGGCTTTTTTCCCCCCCTTCACTCTTTCCCTGTCACTGTTGCAGCCTGTTAAAGCGATGGCGATCTGGCTATAATTACTTTCCAACACTCATGTTAATCAATGAGGGAAAAGGCCAAGCTAGATAAACCCAAAAGTCTGCGACTACAGAGAAAGGCTCTGGCATGTGTGCAGAAGCTGTGACTTTTCTGTTCGGGGCTGAACTGGATTTGGTGACCTTCAAGCTCAGGTCATCACCCCTTTTGTCTGTGCTCCTTGGAGAATCATCCTGCCTCAGTAGCAACGGAGAGATTAACAAAGATATGGCAACGTGTCTGCATTTCGTAGCTTGCCCTTAGGGAGGATCTACCTCATTAAGGACTAAAAACTTACAAAGCCTTTTTGGAGTGTACATTCTTCACCTGTATTAACATGGAGTCCAAATCCAAAGTATTGGCAAGCGAGTTCCTTTCCAGCTTCATGTACTTGTGTCAAAAGTTTGCCTGTAAACGCGAATGATTCAAGAATCCTGAGGGCACCTTTCATGAAGAGTCTCCAAGAGAGTCGCATGGGGTTGGTTGGCAGGAGGACTTCTGCTGGGAGACAGAATGTCTTAGGGAAATGGTTTTCTGGAAATCCAAGGGCCTGCATCCTGCCCTTTCCTACTTCTGGCCTGTGACCCACGTTCTTCCGGCTGTGCACACGTGGGCACCCTCTGTCTGGGCCAGTTAGTCTCACTTCCCCATGGAGGTTTATCTGACTGTGCCAGCCAAACTTCTCTCTCCTTTCCCTGTATGACTGTACACTGCCTGTCAATGCGATCAAAGTCAATGTGCATTTTAAGGGGTCCTCGGTAAGATCCTAAT